CTTCTTATACAGTTATGTGTGTTCTCAAGCATAACTTGGAAGTTGCAGCTGGGGCCTGCCACTCCTTGTCGCTTACCACACCATGAGTCTTAACCTATGCTTCCGCAACACAAATCTCCTGTGTCCTCTTTTGTAAGCAGCTCCCTGTGCAATACTTTCAGTGGCTTTGGAAAGGCCACCTGAACCAATCTCGTCAAAGATGTATTTAAGTGAGTGTATAACACCTGTTTAAATTCCCATTCACAGGCACTTGCCAGGTATATCATATGATCATGGACTTCAAGTTATATCAAATCCAGTTTTTTGGTTTTTTTTTTTTTTTTAAGAAAAAAGTTAAGAGGCTGGGGAGATGTCTCCATTGATTTGGAAGCATGACACCTGGAATTTGATCTCCAGAAGCCATGTAAAAAATTCCATGAACAAGAGGAATACGGGGGAGGCAGAGACCGGTGAACTAGATGCCTGAGCCTCACTGGCCAACCAAAGTAGCCTAATTGTGAAGTTCTTGGTGGCTGAAAACCCCTGTCTCAGAAGACAAGGGGGAGGCACCTGAGGAAGGACACCTCCAGCTGGCCTCTGGCCTCCATATACATGTGTGGCCATGTGCACCTGCACACACACACACACACACACACACACACACACACACACACAGACACAAACATCCAAAGATGAGAAACTACAGTGAGCTCACTGAAATGAAGATGCCATACTAATGGAGAGAAAAGAGGAAGAGTCCACTGAGAAAGTTTTTACCTGAGTAGCAGGTTACATATTAAAGCAAGCATTAATGTATTCCAGTGCTTTGTATCACATTTCCAAGAGACAAGTGAATATTCTTAACCTCCTTGTAGAAGTGAAGGTATTGAGGCATGGAGCAATTACAACACCATGCCCCAGGTAAAAGAGCCAGTCAGTCACTGATTAAAACCCTAAGCCCCAAGCACTGGCCATGAGCTTTCTGGAAAGCCAGCACTCCATGAAGATGTTTGAGGAACAAAGACAAAACTAGCCTCAGTGGCAAGGAGAAAGGGAAGGCACAAAATATGTGCATGGTGCATTTTTCACTGTCGATGGGGACCAGTGAGAAGTTTTCTTCCACAGCCTGCCCAGAAGCCCCTTCTCCATCCTCTGTGGTTGGTGATCAATGATTATTTAGTGGGTAGCACACTCTAGTGGAGGGATCCAGAGCCAGGAGCTAGACTGCCTGGGTTCAGTTCTTTCTCATTCACGGTTGAGCCTAAGGTTAGAAACCCTAAGTCTCATGTGATGGAGTCAAGAAGAGGAGATATAATTAATTGTGACCCCCCCCAAAAAAAACAAAAAACTTTCTACTATGGGATGTGGTGAGGCTACAAACAGCACAGATGATCATCCACTTTGAAGCAGCTAATGTTCAACCCAGACAAATTCCAGCACAGAGAAAGGGCCCTGGACACAAAGTCTTACCTCTAATCAAGAATCTATTTGCAATTGATGCGCACTGGCAAAGAAAAAATCAGTTTTCTCCAATGGGGTATCTCTGGGTTTCTTATCAACCACACTCCAGAGCAGGCCCCTTGCCCAGGAGTAGTTGACAAACCAAAATGGACTCCATGTTTTGTGTATGTGTACTTTTTGTTTGGTTTTGTTTTAATTATTTATTGGATTTTGTTTGCTTGTTTTTATTTTTGTTACTTGGGGGTATTGAGAAAGATAGTAAAGTTAAGTGGGTAGGGAGATGAGGAGAGTCTGGAGGAGTTGGGGCAGGGGAAAGGAAATGATCAATGTATATCGTATGAAATAATAATAATAATAATAATAAAAGAAGTAGCTAATGAATAAAATCCAGCCAGTTGTCAGAGAGGCTGCCTCAGAAGGAAACAGCAGCTAAGTGAAAGAACAACACAGAAAAACTAACCTGGACTGCACCTCAGGAAGTCACGCAATTTTCTAACAATAAAGCCAGACTTCTATAAAGGAAACTCTGCTAATGTTTCACATCCTAGTATACACCTGTGAAATCTTGATTTGCATATTTTATGTAAATTATCCCAATGCTAATAATCCTAGAAGGTCACAAAAACTAAACAACTAGATGAAAGTAATAATCTCACTAATTGCCAGGCATTGGTGGCACACGTCTTTAATCCCAGCACTCGGGAGGCAGAGGCAGGTGTATCTCTGTGAGTTCGAGGCCAGCCTGGTCTCCAGAGCAAGTGCCAGGATAGGCTCCAAAGCTACACAGAGAAACCCTGTCTCAAAACAACAATAAATAAATAAATAAATAAATAAATAAATAAATAAAAGAATCTCACTAATTTATCAAATGTGCAATACAAGTTCTGAACTATACTTCCTATGGCTTGTGTTGGGGTAACAGCTATGGTAATTACCTCACTGTTAGTAGGATATTAGGGAAGAAGCACAGGTCTGTAGGATGCATGGTAGTCTGTCCACCACATCCCCACAAAGTTCTAAACTTTATACAGAGGCTATCAATAATTATGGTCAAATGTGCACAGTCAGTGTAGCTGCATGGGAAGCTAAGACAGGGGAACAGCACACATCTCAATTCCAGACCAGAAATGGGAACATAAGTGGTTGTAGTCATTCATTTGCCCCCTTCACTTAGAGTATAAAAGAGGTGATACTGACCACACAAGCTCCTATTGGCCATCCTCTTTATTTAAAAGAATCTTTAAGTGCATTCGATTCAAGTAACCCTGCATGGCTTCCTTTTTCTTTTCCAAATCTCAGGCAAAGGAAAGACTACAAAGATATTCTGATACAAAAAAGTATTTATTAGTAAAATCTACCTACCTAATGAAACATCTCCTATCAAAATAGTCATCTATATGATGACTACCATTTGATTAGTTCATATTAGAAATGAAATATGAATGGTTAAATTCAGTGCAAGGAACATATATTTTAATGCGTTTGTCAAGTTCTTTTTAATGCCAGGAAACACCAACTCTCCCTTCATTGCTATTAAGATTCAATAGTGGTAACGTGGGTCAGACCCAGTTTTCATATGGATATGCACAAGTGGGAAAGACAAGGGACCCAGGGCAATTGCTTACTATTTAACTATCCTTAGGGCCAAGTCTGGCTTGTGGCAGGGCTGAGACTTGCTATGTTGATCAGGCTCTGTGAATTTGTCAGAATCTATTAAGAACAATTTATGACAAGGCCATCATTGCAGAAAACCATCTTATCAGATACTCTTTCTGGCACACCATCACACACACACACACACAAGCAGTGTAGCCACGAAACCCTAAAAGGTCACAAAAACTAAACAATTAAATGAACTTAAGGATGAAACTAATGACATGTTTTCTCTGAAACAGTCATCTATAGATGAGTACCATTTGATTAGATCATATTAGTGTACTGGTTAGGCTACTACAAGTGGACACCATGATTCTCGGTGACCAGTGAGGACACTGGAATAGAGAAATAAAACCAGATAGATGTCAGGAGGTCAAAAATGGACAGCTCTGAGCCTAACACTGGCCCTCAGACTGTCAGGTTCCTTCCTCCTCCTTCTAGCACAGACCCGGGACAGACAGAGCCTAGCCTCCAGGCCTCCAGTCCAGGGATCTGTAGCTCATGCCATCTAGTCCACCAAACCTCAGCAACTCTCCAAATTTCTCTTTTCAAATGCCATGTCAATGCTAACTTTCCTCAGCATTGGCAGTCATTCCCTGCTGTTCCCTGTGTCTGGAGCCACAGTCAGCTGACTTGCTACCTTCATAGTTAAAGCTAGTTGTTGGTTTTTTATTGTTATTGTTTTTAATGTTTTGATCAGCATACAAAGAAGTGGGATTTATTGTGACTTTCCATACATACACATCATTAGACTCTGTTCCTATCCACTCCCAATGTCTGTCCCTCTTACTGTCCCCTCCCTTCTACAATTACCACCTATCTACTTTCATGTCATGCATATTCCATGACACTGCCTTGCTTCTACCGCCTCTCCATTTAGAACATGTCCTTCTCTCTCATAGCCCCCTTTTCTCCTTCCATCACACACACACACACACACACACACACACACACACACACATCTAGATTTCAGACATGAGTGAAAACATGATATTTGTCTTTCTTCTGCTGCTCTTCTGTTGATGGAAAGCAAAGCTGACTCCATTTCCTAGCTATTGTGAATGGCACCATGGATGAACATGGGAAAGCAAGAGTCTTTGGTATGCTGCTCTAGGATCTTTCCATGTATATACCTTAGTCATATAGTAACTCTGTCTTCAGTTTTTGTACAAACCTTCATACATTCTCAATAGAGGTGTAAAAGGGTTCCTCTTTCCACACATCCTTGCCAGAGTTTGTTGTTGTCTTGATGATAGCCATTCTGCCTAGAATGAAGTGGACTTTCCAAGCAGCCTTTTTAAATTATGTATATGCATGCGTGTCTGAGCATGGGTTTGTGAACACACATGTCATGCCTGCAAACACTAGATCCCCTTGGATGCCCTGGTGCTGAAGTTTCTGACAGTTGTCCTGGGAAGCCAACTTGGTCCCTCTCTAAGAGCAGCAAGCACTTTTAACCACAGATCCATCCTTCCAGTCCCATCTCAGAGCAGTTTTAATTTGCAATTATTTTACTACAGATATAATACTATCTTAAAATCAATCAAAATATTAATAACAAAAATAATTATTGAATACATATTTAGATTAAGCACTTTGATAAAGAATTTTACATGCCTCCCCTTTATTTAACTGCAGGTTTGATGCAGGTCCTATTATTATTTTATAAACAAGAGGATTAAGATATAAAGTACCTATTTATCTACCATTACCTACTGAGTCTTAGGATTGTGATTTAAAACCAAATGATCTCATTTTAGAGCCCACCCATTTAATTACAACATCCAGCACAGCCATTCCCTTTATTCCTCATTTATTTCACGGCACAAATGCTGAAATTCAATAATAAAGAAAGCTTTCTGACTCTATGCCCTCAAAAACTACTTCCGCAGCGGGACACATACCCAGATAAGTGAGCTGCCTCGACTGGATGTTGAAGAACCAATCACAGCCTCTGTCATGACTGGGCAAAGGGGGAGATGGAAGTGACTGACCCACGCGACTCCCACATCTGATGAGAATGTCTGGGTGAGGAGGTAGGTCTCTGTGCAACAGCAGGAGGTGATTTCTTGAGGCAAATCTGTCAAACGTTGCTGAATACTGAAATGAGAAGGGAAAAAAACATTGATGACTCAAAGAGGAGTCATTTAGCATCAGAGCTGCACATTCTGTGTGGGAAATAGGCCTCCTTGAATCTATTTCATTGCAAGTCAGGCTAAGATATCATCAAGTGTGAAAACTGAAAAAAGTCATGGTGTTCTTCTTGTTCATAACCACAGTTAACAGAGGAGGAGACCATGATGCAAGACCAGTGAATTGACTTCTTTCAGTCAAACAGCTGTAAGAGAAGGGATCAGGTCTACAGTTCCTTCCCGGCTTTCCTCATGACATGAAGAGGCTAGAAGTGGTCAAGAACTGTGCACGAGTCACAGCCATGGCTGACATTGCTGGGTCACCTGATGCACCATGAAGCACTACTCCTGTGATAGTTAATCTCCTTGTACCATTCTAGATTTGCAGTAGCTTCCCTTGGATCACAAGGCAAGACAGTGCTGAGAGCCAGGACACAAACCTTCCTGAGCCTTAGCTTTGGGGAAAATCCCTTCCAGTGTTCTCATGGTAAACCCAGTGGACACCAAAGACACCAAAGGCAGAGAGGACGATATCCTTCCTGAGGGCTACAGTGAGAAGATCAGATGAGATAAGCACATCCTGTGTCCCTAAGATACACTTTCACAACTATGTGGAACTTGCTGTATGTGACACGGAAAGAACAAACTATATGAAAGGGAACCAAGCTTAAAGAAACATGTTGAATTACTATTTCCATTGTTAATTTTATTTTACATTTAATTCATTGTTGTCGTGGCGGTGGTCATTGTCTTGAAAAATGTGCCCATTTTCTGCCTAGCCAGCACCCCTTAGCAATTTGATTCTTTCCTCCCAGCCCTGCCTGGAGAAGCATGAAGATAGATCCTTTTGTAAATTCATCCTGAGCCACAAGGTGGCAGTATGAAACATGTGATTGCCCCGTTAAGAAATTTTCTCTGGCTTCTAACCCTTGAAGGGGAATAATTTAGATTTTAGCTTATATTGAAAGAAAGAAAAAGGAAGAAAAGAAGGCAAGGAGGGAGGGAGGGAGGGAGGGAGGGAGGGGTAGGAAATACCTCAAAACTACTTTTCATTGAATTACTAAATTTGTATCAGAACTAGTTTTGCATTCAAGATGGGATTTAAACACTAGAATTTTCAAGTTAACAAACAAACCATCCAGAAAAATGCTGCTGCAGCTTCCTTCATGACCATCAGATAATATTTACAGCCCATCCCTGCACAGAAGTACAGATAAGAATCACTTAGTATGGAAAAAAAAAAACAGTGGATGGGATTACCTGTAAAGATCTGTCCATCCAATGGTTGGGAAACTGCAGTAAATAAGTCTCTTGATCCAAGAGAAGAGCCATCCAGCCATAGTAGTTAGACAAGGTGTCACTTACATAATTGACAGTGATTGTCTTATTTCTGCTGTCAGTCACAATTAAATCCTTAGGAACACCAAGGGCCTTATCTCTATAGTGTATTAAAGAGGAAAATAGTAAATAAGAGTTCCCAGGTAGGGTCTTGGAGATAGATCAGCAGTTAAGACTACTTGCTGCTCTTCCATAGGACCTGAGTTTGAATCTCAGGACCCAGCGGGCTGCTAACAACTGCATGGAACTCCAGTTCCAGGGGACTTGACTCCCTCTTCTGGAGTCCATGGACACTTAACATAAATTGTGCATGGACATACTTGCAGACAAAACATACATATATTTAAGATAGATAAATAAATAAACTCTAACACAATGTAATTCCATGGCAATTTTCTCATTCTAAATCAAATGCCTTCCTCTTACATCATCTGTAATCTTCCCTACTGGTGATGTCACGAGGCTTCCACCTATGTAGGTCAAAACAGCCCACTAGGAGACTGCCACCAGAAGGCTTACATTTATTACACTGCTGGGGTGGAAATGGGTAAGCAACATTCGTATCTGAAACCCCTAATAAACACCACCTGAATGGGTTCACATAGGCTAGAATAACATACAATTAATTTAACAAATGTCTACATGAAGATGTAGAAAGCTTGTTAACAACAGAAAACACATTATTTTGAGTACTTTGATATTCCTAGAGGAGCTTTCATGAGCCCAGAACCTGGTGTGCCTAAACTATTCAGTACCCTTCTCCAATTGCCTAGAAGAAATGACTTCAGCGGTGTTCCCAGGAATGAAGATCCTAGCTTCTCTCCCTATTGTATGGATGCATATTGCCCCTTGATGTTCCTGGGTTTGCTTTCTGTAAACTACAGGTTGTACCAAGCTTGAGTCAGATATACTTTCTTCCTCCCCTTGATAACCTCAGCATGGGGCTCTATACATATTGCTGCTGATCATGCTTGTTATAAAATGGAGACTGGTCGGATAAGGTCTTCCAAAAGCAGCCTGTGCCATCTTGCTAACTTTTTATAAAGGATTATATAGAGACCTTATTTTACCAAACTAGGAAACTAAGTCAGATTGTGGTAGTACCAACGTCTCCTGAATTGTTCTGTGCAGCCCATCCCAGAAAGTGATTTTTTAAGACTTTGTTAGAACATAAATACATTCAGTCAAAAGTTCAGACTCTAAAAATAAGTCAAAATGACAATGAAAAATTGGGATTATTTAACATTCAATAAACATATGGCTGCTTTTTCCTTTTGTTTAGATTTATTGTTTAGAGAACTTTTCACCACTGCATTTAGCCACAAGTAGGTAATTAAGCTCTTAAAGGGAAGGGAAATGGGACAGAGAGGGTGAAGACTTATCACAGTGAGCTGGAACCTGAGTATATCTAAACATAGTTTACAACCCAATGGCATATGATGAAAAGGAAACATTTGTGTGACAGAAACAGCTCTTGCTACATCACCTAACTTGCCATGATCTCCCAAGTTCAAATGAATCCCTGCCTTTGCCCCATAAGTACTTGAAATCATAGGGATATGCCATGCACCTAGACAAAAAAAGGGACTATTAAATAGCTGGGCACACAGGAGATAGTGATAAAGAATCTCAAGTTGCAAGTCTTCCTGGGCCACAGAGAGAAACTCTGTTTATGCTGGTTAGCTTTGTCACCTTGACACAAGCTACAGTCATCTAGAAAGACAGAACCGGGATTGTGAAAATGCCTCCATAAGACTGGTTTGTAAGCAAGTCTACGGGGCACTTTCTAGATTCATCATTGATGTGAAGGGCATAGCCCACTATGGGTGATTATCTCTCATGGCAAGTGGTCATGAGGCATTTAAGAAAGCAAAGTGAGCAAGCCAGGAGTACAAAGCCAGTGCACAGCACTCCCCAATGGCTTCTGCTTCAGTTCCTGCTCCCAGGTTCCTGCCCTGATTCCCTTCATGACAGACCACTATAGGGACCTGTAAGCCAAATAAACCCTTACTCCCCAAGTTGTTATTGATCACACTGTTTTAGCATAGCAATTGGAAGCAGACTGAGATATTTTTTCAAATAAGCAAAAGGAAATAAAAATGCCTTTGCAAGTTAGAATAAAATGGAAAAAAAGTTAGACACAAAATACAAAGGTAAACTATGTACATCAGTATGTGTGAAGTTGGGAATTTACTAACTCTTAGCATGGAGACAATGTATTCTTGATTCCTTACCACTTATCTAAATGCCTAAACTGTCACATGAATAACACAATAACAAAACTGCCCTTTGACATGGAGGCAGAATTGTTATCAACAAAGTACATATCGGAGACCACCCTATCAAGCCACAAAATAAACTCACAAAGAAGTTTCACATTTCAGTAAATCTGGGATTTTCTGATGCTGCGTACTGAGTGGCTATGGTGTATATGTGGCTATGCATCAATGGTTAGGCATGTCTGGGAAGGTTCTTTGTGAAGTTTTGTCAATTTAACACATGACTATGGGCTTTAATGTTACAGATCATTGACCCAGGTATTTCTTGTGAGATTAAACACATCTGTTTTCCCCATTAATGAACTAAGAGCAATCAAAAAACCCTGATGCATTTGGAATAAAAGAACTATTCTGTGTTACCTGGATTGCTGCACGTTTAAAGGAAGCAATTCCCTGACTCTGGGTTTTAGATACTTAGGATTCACCTCTCCCATTTCTACCAGGATTTGTATTAGAACTACTGCACAGCTCTTAACTTCAATTCTTAGAACCAGCATAGATAAGAGGGAGGTTTGCACCAACTTCAAATCCAATGCCTAGTCTCTCCCATTGCATTTCATCCTGTTCCTCTTTCTAGTTAATGATGCATTCATGCTCCACTTATAGAATTTTATAGGTACAATTTTTAATATCACTATGGATTGAGACAGGGTCTCATCATATAACCAAGGCTGATCTTAAACTACTGTTCAGGCCAATTCTCAACCTCAGCCTCCCTAGGAGTGCAGATATGTATCACCGCACCCAGATAAAACTATAATATTTAGAAAAGTTTTAGAATAATCTATGTTTTTCTTTAGCTATCCATTATGTACCACTCTAGCTACATACCTTCTGGTTAGAGCCAGGAGTCCTAGGAGTATACAGCATAATTTGTACAACTAATAAATTGAAAAATAAAAACAGACATCAAAGAAATAAATGTAAAATAAAAGTGATTTGAGAAGAGATAAGTTTGAAGCAAGAAACATGAAGGAGATAGATGTGTTAGCTACAGTGAGCACCATGGTCCAGTTTGGAATGGGATTCTCCACAATTCAGAACATAGTTCTGTATCTTTGACACTGAATCATTAATTTTCCATATTAAATGAAGTTGTCTTTCACAGGGCCTTGTAGTTCTGTGTTTCTTTCCACTGCTTGCCTAGGTCCTTACGAGTTCCACCAATGTGCAGCAAAACCTGTTGAACAGCTCCATATGCAAGGCACAGTAGGCCTCCATATCCAAGCTGTGTTTTAAAATCTCACTGAAGTCAAATTAGTCTCCAAGCACTAGGCTCTGCCTCTTGGCTCCATAAGTCATTGCAGTAGCTCCAATCTCTGGGGAGTGTGAAATAACCACCACCAGGCTCTCCTTAATATGCTGGGGCAAGTACATTTCTATCTCTCATTCTTTTTCCTGAGCCAATTTATTATATTGCCCCAGAGGTCCATGATCTTGCTGAGGTGCTGGTGTTTGGTGTCATATACCTCCATAGTCAACGCAAAGTTGGCAATCTTGTATCATAAGCCTTTAACTTCCTTCTCATGTTTCTTCTTCATTAACAGAAATCTCTCCTTGAGAGCTTCAATTTCTATTGCTACAGCAGCCAAATGATACTGGTATAATCTGTGACCATGCAGAGCCAACAGCTCCTCGCCAAAGATCAGAACATACATTAGTTACTTTCCTCTTACTGTGATAAAATATCATGACAAAGGCAACTTACATAAGAAAGAGAAAGGATGTATTTTGGCTTATAGCTCTAGAAGGATGAGAATCCATCGTGGTAGGAAGGCATGGCAACAAGGGTCAGGCATGGTGGAATGAACAGGAAGCTAAATGTATTTCTTCCCTTTATCGCTACCCTATTGGTGGTGATCTTTGGGGAGGTTTAGGTGCTGTAGCCTTGCTGGAAAAAAAAATACATCACTGAGGCTGAATTTGAGTTTTCATAGCTTTTAATACTTCCACTTCTCTTTTGTATGCTTGCATTGGAGATGTAGGCATTTATTTTTTCCTAGTTATCATTTATACCATTTTAATAGCTATTTTAATCTTAATATATCTCAACACAATCAACTGGATATGTTTCTCAGAAATTATTCTTAATTCTTAGGAACAGGAATGTGTCCCAAGAACCCCCTAGTCATTTTGACTAGAACTAGTTATGTATCAGATTTCTGTCATTATCTTTTCTCTTCATCAAGTAGGATGATAATTTCTCGATTCAGACCTCAGAGGTTATAATTTCAGTTTCTTAAAAAAATTGAGGCTATTTCCCATGTTACTAAAGGCTTTCACAAAAATCCCCCCCCCTTTAAGTGTTATCAAAACTCTGATACCTTTAGTGAAGTTCTGCTTGTTTTGTGACCCTTTGTGCCACCCATTGAGTATTCTTTTTTCCCATCAGCACACAGCAATGTGATAGCGGCCACTAGGTCACTCAGAGAGCCACCACCACACGCTGTGATTCTAAACCATCTTTCTTCTCACCTCTTTACACCAAGCAAACTCCTGTAGTGCCCTGAGACTATCAAACCTCTCTCATCCATCTCAACCATTCAGGATGTAGTTTCCTAGACAGCCATGAGCAAAGCCAACTTTCTGTAGTGTAAATAAAGAAGTAGATACCAAGCATGTCTTCATCACAGCTGGTGGCAGAGTCATATTGCACATTCTAAAGAGCAAACCAAAATGTAAAATGCTCATCTCCCTGCAGGTAAGATTGACCATTCCCAGGAGCCAAAACTTGAAGTCAGATCAAGTCCTATCCTTCTAGGCCAAACACCAGCATTGACAGTGGTGGGCTCCTCAGAAAGGCACACCAAGAGAACATCAA